TAAAAAAAAATCAAATACTATCAAAACAATTAGATGTAGTTAAACACCTACTCATGTGTAAGTCTTCATTACCATCTATTCAAAAAGGCATTTTAAAAAGTGTTATTGTGCAGGACTGAAATTATTTAGGATTTTCAGGTTTATTATTTTGAAAATGTCTATTCTAGTGAGGACTTAAATTTTGAAAAGCAGTCACAGACAACCTCTTAGTTCAGGAAGCAGGAAGTACTAGTAGTACTGCAATAGTTCAGCAAAATGTGGTAGCTATGTGACATCTTTGAGCATCACCTTTCTCTGCATCTGTTAGATGCAATGTCTGTAAGTACACAGTGTTAAATTTATTGTGTGATACATTTGAGAAGGTTATTTGATATTAAGATGTATATTTTCTTAGTTTAATTATCCTTACGTTATTGTCAATCGTAACGAGTCGCCGCATCACAAGGTGAGCTGGAGTCCTCTAGAGATGATGGCTTGTCTGTGCTGCCATCCTCGGACGTGCTAGCATAATAAGTTTGATCCAGATTTCACAGCTATGCTTTCCCGGGCTGCCGTGAGTATCGCGCTTGTGTGGAACCTTCTGCCATGGGCTGATTCAGGGCTCATCCTTGAGCTGCCTGTCATCACCGACCTTGCTCTACGAGCGACGAAGGTGACTGCACGCTCCCTGGGTCAGGTGATGTCCACATGCGTGGTCAGACATCTCTGGCTTAACCTGGTTGATGTGTGTCAGGCTGAGTGAACCCGTTTCCTCAGCTCCCCCATATCCCAGGCTGGCCTCTTCGGCGGCACGGTCAAGGACTCTGCCCAACAGTTCTCGGCCGCCCAGAAGTGGACTGTGGCTATTTTGTCTGACCCCGCGGCCATCTGCTGCCAACCAGCCGCTGGCTCAGACACCTCAGTCTGCTTGCCGCAGAATGCGCCCTCCTGCGACTTCTGCCCCCTCCCGCCCGGCCCCAGCAGCACTGGGCCGCGCCGTGGAGGTGGTCGCAGGAAGGCGCCCCTGCCCGTACCAGCCCCGCAGCCCCGCTGAACGCCAGGCTATGCGGCGCTCCCGTTACGGGCAACTCAGATGTGGGTTGCAGTTCTTTCAGGGAGCACTCTCATTCCGCTCTGTCGCCAGACCCCTGGCAGAGCAGGCCCCCGCGGAACGCTGGTCCTTCCCTGGCCTCCTCTGTCAGGGTGCGGTTTGACCGTGCCCCAACTCCGGGCCGGTCATTCCGCTTCGCTGCACCACCGAGGGGACGTCTGTGGCTCGCGTGGCCCCGCTGGCACAGTCTTTGGGAGCCTCACTGAGCTTCCCAACCTGTCCTGCTGGGTCACACGAACCATCAGGCTTAGCTTGCGATTCAGTTCGCACGGTCCCCTCCCCGCTTCTGAGGAGTCCGCTCCGCCATGGTCGGTGGCTGTGCCCCTATCATCAAAGTGGAGATTGCTACCCTACTGGTGAGGGGTACGATCGAGACAGTCCCTCCAGCCGAAATAAGGTCCGGGTTTCACAGCCCATATCAGTACGCCGTTGTCTCATTCGGGCTAGCCCTGTCTCCTTGCGCCTTCACAAAGGTTTTCGAGGCAGCCCTTGTTCCTCCATGGGAACACGGGGTTCGCATCCTGAACTATCTTGGCAACTGGCTTTTCTAGCTCACTCTCGAGACATGGTCTGCGAATAGAGGGACCCAGTGCTCCGGCACCTAGCTCGTCTGGGCCTTCGGGTCAACTGGGAAAAGAGTAAACTTTGCCCTGTGCAGAGGATCTCTTTTCTCGGTTTCGACTCAGCCTTCTCCACTCGCCTTCTCCACTCAGCCACTGCTGACTTGCCTGGCAATCAAGCGCAAGAGTGCGGTTCCACTGAAGTTATTTCAGAGGCTCCTGGGGCATATGGCATCTGCAGCCGCGGCAAAGCCGCTCGGATTGCTTCATATGAGACCGCTTTAGCTTTGACTTCGCGACTGAGTTTCTACGGGCTGGGGCGCCATGTGCAATGTACATGCTGCCGCAGGCTCCTGGACAGGACCCCAATGCCTATGGCATGTCAATTGCCTCGAGTTGCTGGCAGTACGTCTCGCTCTGCACCGCTTCTATGCGCTGCTCAAGAACCAGCACGTACTAGTCCGATCAGTCAATACCGCAACAGTAGCGTACATCTCCGACAAGGTGGTCTACGCTCCCGCCGTATGTCGCAACTCGCCCGCCACCACTTATGGTGTCAGAAGCATCTGAGGTTGCTTCGAGCCATTTATGTCCTGAACTGTGCAGCCAACGAGCTCTCACGGCTTCAGCCTCTTCCTGGAGAATGGCGACTCCATCCCCAGTCACTTCAGCTGATTTGGGATCAGTTTGGGGACACACAGACAGATCTGTTTGCCTCCCACAACTCGTCCCACTGCGACCGGTTTTACTCCCTGACCGAGGGCACGCTCAGCACGGATGCTCTGGCGCACAGCTGGCTGCGGTGCCTGGGCAATATGCGTTTCCCCCAGTGAGCCTTCTCGCACAGACCTTGTGCAAGATCAGGGTAGACGAGGAGCAGGTCATTCTGGTTGCGCCACACTGGCCCAACCGGACCTGGTTCTCCGAACTTGTACTCCTCGCAACAGCACCTCCCTGGCCATTTCCTCTGAGGAAGGAACTCCTTTCTCAGGGACAGGGCACCCTATGGCACCTTCATCCCGATCTTGGAACCTCCACGTTTGGCTCCTGGACGGGATGAGGCAGGTTTGAGTACCCTACCACTAGCGGTGGTGGCTACCATCACTTCCGCTAGAGCATCGTCCACAAGACACGTCTATGCGTTGAAGTCGAACCTCTTCGTCAACTGGTGCTCTTCTCACCGAGAAGACCCCCGGAAATGTTCGATCAGTGTCATGCTTTCCTTCCTTCAAGATGGGTTGGAGCGAAGACTGTCTCCCTCCTTCCTGAAGGTCTATGTTGCCGCTATTGCCGCACACCATGACCCTATCGAAGGTAAGTCTGTGGGGAAGCACAAGCTGATCGTCAGGTTATTGAGAGGAGCGAGGAGACCGAATCCTTCTCGCCTCCTCTCGTTCCCTCTTGGGACCTCTCAGTGGTTCTAACTCCCCTGCAGAGTGCTTCCTTGTGCCTTTGCAATCAGTGAGCTTAAGTTCCTGTCAAGAAGACAGCGCTCCTGGTTGCATTGGCCTCCATCAAGAAGGTGGGGGACCTGCACGCATTCTCCGTTGACGAAGCGTGCCTGGAATGCGGGCCGGCCTACTCTCACGTGATCCTGAGACCCCGCCCTGGATGTGTGCCCAAGGTTCCTACCACTCCCTTCCCCTGGAGGAGGCAGACCCAGCCTTGGCACTGCTCTGTTCAGTACACACTCTTCGTGCCCACGTGACAGGACGCAGTGTTTCAGGACCTCAGACCAGCTCTTGTCTGTTATGGTGGGAAGCTGAAGGGAAAGGCTCTCTCCAAGCATAGGCTCTCCCTCTGAATAGTGGACGCCAATGCTTTGGCAAACCAGCAGGAAGATTGTCCATGCCTCCTTGGTGTGTCTGCCCACTCCACCCGGAGTGTGGCATCCTCTTGGGCTCTAGCGCATGGTGCCTCGCTAACAGACATCTGCAGAGCTGACACCCTACACATTCGCCAGATTCTACAATCTCCGAGTGGAGTCTGTGTCCGCCCATGTACTCGCTTCAACCAGCTAGGACCCGCTCAGGTGTCTTCGCTTGCTCGCCATTCCACTCCACGGACTGGATACGTGCGATTATTCTCCTCAGGTGAGCCTCATAAGCCCTGAGTTCCTCCAGCACTGGTGACGCCGACGTCAGTGTCTATTGCCTGCACGTTGGCTAGGTGCCTCCCATGTTCTTGGTCCCTCCCCTGAGCGACCCCCACATGTGTATTTCCACTGTAAGCCTCTCTGAGCATGTGTCTTTCCCTTGGCAAGCCACCTTGCCACCCTGGCATTGAAATATTCCACCTGCGGCTGGACACCCCAGTGTTTCTCCATATGCTTCCTTCGGGTTATGTGTATTCTTAAGTCCCCCCCCCCTTCTGGGTTGGCAGTATTTGCAGATTTACGCAGGCCACTGGAAGACAGCTGTGAAGGTGGCGTGATTAGACTGGTAACCCCATTCGTCGTCATCCTACGGAACTCGGAGTGACAACGAAAGGGAACGTCTCGGTTACGTGTGTAACCCTCTTTCCCTGAGTAGGGAACGGAGACGTTCCGTCTTCCTGCCTCCTTCCGCTGTACCGCTGGAACAGCCGAGTTCAGTTTTGACTCCTCAGCGAAGAAACATATCTGCAGATTGCCGGCGTCCTCCTGTACCATGAGGTAAGGTGGAGACACGCCATGCAAAATCCGCAGACCCATTGCATTTCTTTGCCATTGGCTCGTTTTGTAATACTCAAAGTCGATAGGCTTTCTAAGCGAAACCCCATTCGTCGTCATCCGACAGAACGTCTCCGTTTCCTACTCAGGGAACGAGGGTTACATCCGTAACCGATACATTAGGGTTAGGTTAGGGTTACACAGTAAATTCGAATAATAATAAAAAAATTGGAGTCAGAATAAATTATCCATGGAGTCAGAATTGAAATTAGAAACCAAAAAGTGATTTTTACAGAAGCGCCAAAAGACATACATGCAGAATACCTTCAACAATGCTATAGATTCCGTAATTGAAATACCATGCTTTATTGTCAGCTAATCATAATTTCACATGACAAATCTTGTTTTTTAAAGATTTTTGAGAAAAAATTAGGCTTTGCAGACCTTTAGATTTAGATTTCTTTTTATTAAATGAACAAAACCCTGAAGTAAAAACACAGGTTGTGCAGAAATGGCAACAAGTAGTAAGATGTTGTGCTTGATAACATTACAAGATCCTGCAGAGTTCATTATGAATTTTACAATAAGAAAAGAATTTAACCATATTCCGTATCTATCTATCTATCTATCTATCTATCTATCTATCTATCTATCTATCTATCTATCTATCTATCTATCTATCTATCTATATATATATATATATATATATATATATATGCATAAAGAAGGAAAGAGAACCCCACGTCATGGTATTATTTTGTCTTTGAATTAGGAAGTCCAGTAATGTCCAAAAGATGCTGTCTGTAAAATTTTTCATTTAGTCGTTCAGATTTTCTCTGCTTCAGAACCAGCTACATGCGTTTGTATACATGGATGAGGTTTTTACAGCTTGGACAGCGATGCTTTACATCCTTGCAGCCTTTCACACAGAAAGGAATCAAACAACATGGCCAGATCCTGGACAGAAAAAAATAAGTGTCTTAAAAAATAAACTTTAGTTTCTCCCGAAATACCTTTGTTAGTGGGTCATCATTAATTCAATCAGCAACTAGAGATTTCTTTCTCTCCATTGACAGTCTTCGCAACTACAACTTTGATGTTTCAAGAAGTTAATAAAGAGATCGTAAAAACTAATCCATATGGATTGAGCGATTTAGTCCAAAATGTTCTGAAGAGACACCATCACTTAAGTTTATAGGATGAGCATATTGAATTTAGGCTCAGATTTCATTAAAAATATCTTCATTTGTGTTCCGAAAATGAATGAAAGTCTTACGGGTTTGGAACGTCATAAGAGTGAGTAATTAATGACAGAATTTTAATTTTTTTGTGAACTAACCCTTTAAATGGGTAATTCACCATTGGCAAAATGGGATTTCAATTAAATTTGGCTGCCTATACAGTAGAAAGATGAAAACTTTTTTGCTACCTTGAATAGTCGAAACTCTTTTGCCAAATTGGAAGGAAAACTTCAACACCCATAATGCAGTGGGCATATAACAGTCCAAGGCCACTCCCACCTGTCTGCTATGGATACGCCTGACCAGAGTCAAATCCCACCTTGCTTTAGTATGAAATGTCTCTTAGCAAACTTTTAGTTATAATGGTGTAAACTTGTATTGAATTCAAAGGGTAAACGCTTTGCGAGAGTGAGTTATTTTCAGTCTCCAGTGAAGGATCCAGAGCATTGTAAGCAGTGGCCAATAGCTGCAAAGAATCATTAATATGGAGAGAACAGTGCAATGAAAAATCTGGTAGTAGATTTGAAGTAGTTTGTAGTAGTCAACACTTCAAACTGAATGACAATGAACACATTGTTTTATGTCAAACGGAGGGAAAAACTGAAAGAAACTGCCGTTCTGTCATTTCCACCCAACCACCAAAGTACAGGTGAGGTAAGAAAGCTGTTGCTATAGTGTTACATTTTTACCATAATGCTGTTTAAAGAGTAGACATAGCACAATTACATTTTTCGTGATAACACTGTAAAATCCAACAGTTGTTCTAACTCACACTTTTTTAGTTAATTTAATTCCCGTCCCTGTTGATTTCTATTAACATGGATCCGCAAACAACTAAAAATGCTGTATTATGTATGCCAGACAAGTAATTGGCAAAGTCACTTCGTAAGTGGCCACGCACTTTGCATTCAAATGCGCATACCTATAGACTAAACACGTAACATGCATGTGCATGCCGTCACCCTTTTTACAGATTCACGTTTTGAAGTTTACACGGAGATGAAAACGGTATCGCTTTCAAAACCCGTTTTCAAAAACGTGCACCTTGAAACCTATTTCAAATTTCGAGTTCTCAGGCCATCAAAATGCCGTTATCGTGTAAATAAACTGCCAGAATGATCGATCAATCAATCAATCAATCAATCAATCAATCAATCGATCAATCAGTCATGCTGTTAAGAAGTACACATATTTTGATGTGTTGACTAACATACATAACATTTAAAGGACTTGATTATAATTGTAACTGTAGTGTGTTATTTTATTTGATATTATATTTAAAGTTAATATATTTTAAATGTACTAATTTGCAAATTCATCATTATACAAATATATTAAAATACATGATATACAAGTTTCAATATATGTCTGAATCAGAATTCTTTTTTCAGAAGTCTGTACATGTTCCTTACCCAAAAATGCCAAGAACACCAAAGATGACCCACACCATCGTCCCATTGATGTATGTCGTCTCTGTGACGATCTGCTCCTGGCAGAAAGGACATCGCATCGGCCCAGGAACTTCAGTCAGACGTGTTGGCATAATTACCCCTTTGGCTACATATGCAGAATAAAAGGTAATAATGATTAAAATCATCATGTGCATGCTGAAAGCGTCTAGTGCTTGAACACATAAGTCTTGTGAATCTAGAACTTTTCTGCTCACCCGGGGCAGGCGCAGGCGCAGGCGCAGGCTGGACAACGGCGGGAATGGCTTGTTGGTTGTAAATTACCATTGGAGCTGCAAAAGAAAACAAACAGAACCAGAAATTCCTTCAAACTTGAGATAAGGGAAATATTATCCTGTATAAGCATCCTGGATGGGACTTAAAAAGAGACTCTCATAACTTCAGACATCGACATTCACCAACGGCAGGCGTACTTGAAAATTGGACTGTTTGAGTTACGTTGGATGAAGACTGTGGTGCAGTGAAACAAAACATGAGTTTTATTAGTCAGAACTGACAGGCTCAAGTTTCCCCAAGATCCAACCTGCATTTGGATATTCTTCATTGTTTTTTGGGGTTACATGGAAGTTGATTTCCAACACATAAGACAAAAAAAAAAAAACATACTTTTGTAAATCATAATGGTCTTAAGCCAATGTTGGTGAAAATTGGACAAACCTTCTAGGATGAGTTCGAAAAGGTAATTTTTTTATTTTTGAACATTCAAAATTTTCAAGAATTTTAATTACGGAAAATTACGTCATAGGATGCAAATTTGCACAGGTGGTGGCGCTAGAGGGATTGAGGTAGAGACTCTGAATTTGCTGTGGTGAATGTTCAGACTGCCCACTATCTTTGTGCCAAATTTCAAAGCTTTTCTGCTCACCCGGGGCAGGCGCAGGCGCAGGCTGGGCAACGGCGGGAATGGCTTGTTGGTTGCAAATTATCATTGGAGCTGCAAAAGAAAACAAACAGAACCAGAAATTCCTTCAAACTTGAGATAAGAGAAATATTATCCTGTATAAGCATCCTGGATGGGACTTAAAAAGAGACTCTCATAACTCAAGACATCGACATTCACCAACGGCAGGCGTAGCCTACTTGAAAATTGGACTGTTTGAGTTACGTTGGATGAAGACTGTGGTGCAGTGAAACAAAACATGAGTTTTATTAGTCAGAACTGACAGGCTCAAGTTTCCCCAAGATCCAAACTGCATTTGGATATTCTTCATTGTTTTTTGGGGTTACATGGAAGTTGATTTCCAACACATAAGACAAAAAAAAAAAAACATACTTTTGTAAATCATAATGGTCTTAAGCCAATGTTGGTGAAAATTGGACAAACCTTCTAGGATGAGTTCGAAAAGGTAATTTTTTTATTTTTGAACATTCAAAATTTTCAAGAATTTTAATGACGGAAAATTACGTCGTAGGGTGCAAATTTGCACAGGTGGTGGCGCTAGAGGGATTGAGGTAGATACTCTGAATTTGCTGTGGTGAATGTTCAGACTGCCCACTATCTTTGTGCCAAATATCAAAACTTTTTACCATACGGTTCTATAGGCTCCCAAAGACATCAAGAGCGGAAGAACAAGAACACTATTGGGTTCAATAGATGCTCGGCCCCTATTTATGCGTGCATATTTATATCTTAAGTCAAACAACGCAGTTGGACAGAACAAGTCATGTTTTTACAACTTTTCCCTTAATGTTTAGAAGGTGTCGGCAGTGTTTTGGAATGCTGTAGGACTTCTGCATTTTTGATGCTCATTGTAACATGCAGAAACGTTCCAGTTTCCTTCTAAACTACAAAGTAAACATCAGCTCTCACCCATGGGCTGGACCTTTTGGACCGCCATTGGAACTGCAAAAAAATATCATTATTGAAGCACTGTAGTTAGCTGCCAATGAACAATAGTCTCTGAATTGAATATCAGAGTGAGGGTCCGCTGACCTGGTTGGGTTTGATAGCAAACCTGCTGTTGCTGGAAAGGAAAGTTGATCTGGACCGGTCCAGGATATTGAGGGGGGAACTGTCCATTATCCATAATCAACAATCTGTGAATGAGAAATACGTGCTTTAATGGTGTGTTGTAAAGGTTTTACATACAACACGGGCAAAGCAACAATAAAAATAACAAATAGACTGACTGCTGCCTTTGACGTAACAAATCAGGAAGTAATGAAGTGTTTGGATTGTACAGATTCTCAGACTGATCTCATGAAATGGCGTATGTACACGCCAATTCGTATTTCCATTTTTGGCGTGCTATCAACACGCATAATCACTTTTCAGCGTGTTTATCAACGCCGTTGACTTAACGTACATTACTGTATATATAAATGTATGACCTACTCCAACCCCGTCCCTAAACCTACCCGTCACTGGGGTTAATACCATTTATGAGTCTTCCCCTACCATCCTAGGAAAAAAAATATCGCTCCCCAGATGTAGATCTACATTTTGCCTTGTTTCGCTCGGATATTTAACGGCATAGACATGATACACGCAAAAGATGACGGTTCGTTTCGGCGTGGACATACACGCGGATAGTTCAAAATGCGTATAGATAACACGCCACTTGACTTGAAAGTGGCGTGTATGTTTACGCAAAGTCATGATGCCATGTTGCGATTCTTGTGGTTGCATTAATCAGTTGTTCTCAGTGAGGAATCACATAGCATTCATAAGTGAATTACTCAAAAATACTTTCGACATCAAACAGGTTGGCATACTTTTTGGGTTTATTATGTAGTCGTGCTATTGAGATGAACAGGAATGTCAACAGATAGCGTTTGCCATGCACCTGTGGTTAATGTACCATGTTACAATTAAAGCAGTGATTGGTTGGGCATTCAGATATGCATGTTGCTGCATCTTTGAACAGCAGCACTTACATTTGTTTTTTAATTTTAGTATTTTAATGGACATTACGTATCAACTTGATCCGCTAAAGCTTCACAATACTTTCTGTCTCATTTTGAACAATATATCTCTCAAATCATTATTATATAGAATAACTTTATTCATTTAAAACCTAAAAAAAACTATTTTTAATGAAATATTTTACTGCAAAAAGTGTGTGAGTCTTCTTTCAAATGCAACTTGTTTTGATATTTTGTATCTAATGTCATGACTTTGCTATTCTCTTTTAAGTGTGACTTACAGTAATTGTCCAGTGTTCATCATTGTCTAACCGTGCTATCATGGAAAATTATTTCCTGAAAGAAGAGTCCCTGTTTAGCCAGTTTGACAACATTTTATCTG